CACCCAGTGGCTTCATATAGATGTTAAATAGGAGGGGGGGACAGGACCGAACCCTGCAGCACCCCACATTTGAGGGGCCTAGGGGTCGACCTCTGTCCCCTGACCAACACTGACTGCGACCTGTCATGATAATGATAGTAATATATATAATGTTGAGTTGCTATGATAAATAATAATTGGATATGAGAAGGGAAGGTTAGAAATATCTTCAGAATATATATAAAGGTTATTAATCACAATAATAATTATTATAAAAAAATAAAATAAAACTATATACAGTTAAACTTTAACTAATAGGGGGAAAATGCTATGATATATGATATAATTAAATAAAGGAGAATGATAATAAATTATATATATAGAGGATGGAATTTTTGGTATTAAATATTATGGATGTTTAGCTAAAACAGGATATGAGGATTTGATGTTAATGGAGGATTGTATAAACAAGTAAATGAAATGCTAGCATGTGGTTATGGATTAAATCTTTGGCATAGTTAAGGATGAAGGATGTTTAAACAACTGTAGTTAACTAAAAGTGGAGGTATAACGATGTTAATATGGTAAACATTTGAGTTAAGGTATTTGAATTAATATGAATTAATGGAAGAGATGCACAAAAACATGTTGTAACCAGCTGATATACTTTTTTATAATATATACTTTTTGTGTTTTTTCTTTTTTTTTCTTTTTTTTCCCCTGCCTTGTTTTTTGTTTTTTGTCTTTTTTGTGTTTTCTTTTTTTTCCCCACTCGTGTGTGCATGTGTTGTTTATGTAACAAAAAAAAATTATTAAAAAAAAAAAAGAAATCAACCTTTGAAGCAGGGGACTAATACTCTACTTCATTCTCAAACTGCAAGCAATTACTAACTAGTTATTAAAATTGCCTCATAGAACAGGTTTTTTTCCCCATAAACATGAAATATGTATGCATGTCACATGCTCCAATGTATTAGTAATATTCTTTTAGACCTATAAGATCAACAGCCCCTTAAAATATAACTCATGAAATCCTATACAAATTTCTATAAAAAGAAAATCTGATTTTTCTCACCTTTCATGTCAAAAATAAAGTAACCCCCCCCCCCCCGGAGTTTAAATAAATCTAGACAACTTTCAAATGTTACATAATTCTTTTTCAGATTCACTTTCCCAAAATATCTGTATTGTTTTGGAAAACTCTAATGCAAAGGGAAAATAAATTGTAGGACTTTTTTTTCACAAAAGGAAACTTTTGAACATAATTCTAAAGTATATGGAAAAGTGGTCATTTTAATTACATTACAATGGCATCTATTAAAATATTATTTCTTATTTATTATGTACTATTCAGACTCAGAACATCTGTGTGAATCAAAGATAAAGTCATATTCTAAGAAAGATTTAGAAAAATGATTAACACCAGATGCATATGAAAATTTGCAATAATAGAGACTATCCATCAATAAACTAATTTCAAATGATTATTTTAAAAAAATTGTTGGGACAGTAAGTCTAATCTAAAAAGTCACACATGCTAATAGCATAACACACATGCATTTTTGAAATTAAAACATAATATGTTCTAAACAAAATTTAACTCACAGCAAAAATCACTACAGATATATTGAGAAGTGACATTGAATTAATGGGAGTTATTTAAAAGAAATTGATATAAGTCTTTAAAATGTAAACAGGAGGAGGGTATACTCTACAACATGCAATGCAGTTAAGCAATGTCACAGAAGCAAACTTAAGGTGACAAAACTTAAGGCATTATTATTCAAGTTGAGATTAAATATATATGAAAAATAAAATATAATATAAATTAAAGTGCAGTGGTCAAGTATAGATAGTATGATTTGAAACGTTTAGATAGTAACATGCTTTTGAAATGCCCATAAGGGCAAATATTTTCACTGAAGCCAAAGCATGAATGCTTAGAGCTGTTTCAAATTTAATTACAAATAAAAGTAACGACAATGAAAACCCAATTGTGGTGATGATGATGGTGATGATTATTATAAAGAAATCTAAGTTGTTCTATCCCTTTTCATATTCTCTATTTATATTTGCTTAAACTAAGATAGAATTTGGCATTTTACCCTTATTTGCACAGATATCACAGTCTTCCATCATTATTAGTGGTAGTAGCAAATCTTTATTTATCTGGGCAAGATTTATTTGTATTTGAATTTTAAAATGGTTTAAACATATCAGCACAGTTAATACAGAGTGCCAATACGGTGTTTTCTATTATACTTTATAGCCAGAGGATCAGAAAATTTCAGCTGGGCTGAACACAGTATGTCCCTCTCATATTCCAATTAAGCTACTGAGTTCAATTTTAAACCACTAAAGTGCTTGGTACCTAGACTCTTAAGACATCTATGAATCCGCATTAAATTTAGGATTGTTCTAGATATTCTTCAATGAACATCACCTTTGCATAGCACCAGAAGTGCTATGCATTTAAGAATACACACTCTCTTATATTTTCCACTCCCTATATAAATATACAATACAGAACAATACAGAACTTGACAAAAACAGCTGGCTAAGAAAAATTTCCAACTGGCTTTTCCTGCTTCTACGTGATATTGCAAGAATATTAGCTGTGGTTGCCAGGCAAAAAGTCCTTTTATCAATGCACTGAATGTATATAATAGAGCTTCTACTACTCAGGGAGAGCTAAATTATTTTATTCAATATTCTAACGGATTCACAAATAATTCACAATACCACACGACAAAATAGAAAAGGGATAATACACCCTTAATTTATTGTAGACTTCTGAATCAATAGTATCGCCAGCATATCACATGAAAAATAAGAAGAACCAGTTCATGGGTGTACTTAAAAACACGCTAAAATAAATTAAGTCAACAGGATTCATTTTTGACACTAACAATGCTCTTCCTATAGCAACAATAGTCTTCCTATCTTTTCATATAATATTTAAGATTATTAGAGAAAGACAAATATTGAACTAGGAATTAAAATTGGGAACTAAATCACAGTTTGGGAATAAGAATTTTTGAACAGAGGTGATTAGATCTAATTAGAATAATAATATCTAAAATCTATTACCCTCACACTGGAAGATTCATTCATACTTTTCGGGCATTCAATTCTGCTAACAAAAATGAATTTTGAAAATGGGGCATAATCTCATATTCTTCTTTCCAGAAAATAATGAAAATACAAACCTGGTAGCAAAAATGAGTGCATAAAATGCAGCATTTACTCTTTTACCATTATTTTCTTCCTTTTCAACAGAATGTGATTAAAATTCCTTTACTAGTGATTTTAAATTTTGCAATCTATACTTTTTCAAAACTCATTTGTGTTACAGGAGAATTCAGAATATGAAAATTAAAAAAATTTTCATTTAAAACATCTTGGTAGCATCAGAATTAAACATTAACGTTAGAAGTCATATAACTTCTAAAGTAAATGTTTAATGTATGTTTAAGTCATCTAAGCAATATTGCCCGTTTGAATCCAGTGAGTTCTATACGAATTAGCAAAATGAAAGTAATTTTTGTTCGCAATATTGCCAACTGATAATTTTGGACTTGACCACTGATACTTAAAACAATTATACTAAATCTAGTATAATAACATCCATGTTCTACCAAGTATTATCTACAGCCATATAAAAGGAAACATTTCTACCTCTCAACCCATGAGGCCTCCTCTGTGAGGCTGTAAACAGTGAACAGAGAAGCATTTTTAGAAGCTGAAAAGGAAGGATTCTTGTTTACAGTGGGTTACAGTGGGTTTACATACTACTGGTTTACAATAGTATGCTGGAGATAACATAGCATTTTACAACAGCAACTTGGTTAAGTTTAAGCCATGCACATTTACTTGAAAGATCCATTGATGAATAATGGGATTGACATTTGAGTAAGCAAGTATAAGAGGGAAGAAGAAAATTTCTATCCCCATTTATATCTGAAAAATAGAATTATTAGAACATATTTTATTAATGCTTCTAACTGTAGAATTGCTAAAGATTCAAGCATTTTTCTTTAAAATGTGATTTAAGAAATTTAATCAAACATACATCAACTTAACCTGAGAAATCAAAACTTTTAACATCACTTCTGTACTTCTTTAACATCAATAACACAATCTTTCTAAATATTTAGACAAAAAAATACAGGTTAGTTTGAAAACAATGATTACAGGTAGTCCTTGATTGGCATTGTGTAAGTCATGATGGTCATAAAGTGTGTCACCATGTGACCAGACCGCTTTTATGACTTTTCTTAGGCAGCTGTTGAAAAATTGTTGTGGTCATTAAGTAACCACCACAGTCATTAAGCAATCACCGTGTTCATTAATCCATTGTTTGCTATGGAGCATTTTTGCTAAAAACAAGTAAATGCCAGTTTTCAGCAAAAATATTAAAAATTGCAGTCACGTGACTGTGGGACACTGCAAATGGCCATAAATCATGGGCTCATTACTGAACATCAAAAATGCAATCATGTGAATGCAGGGAGAGCACAGCAATCATTAGAACTTCAGATTCAGGTCATAACTTTCCTTCAGGGGAACCCTAACTTCAAACAGTTGCTAAATGACAGGTTGTAAATTAAGGGTTAAGGTAATATGAACCTTACTGAATCTGTATTAACTAAATTTTCAATGTCTGAAACAATGGGAATTTGGTACTAGAGCTTATGAACTCTTGATTGAAGATAACCAGTTAAAATCCGTATTTTACATGATCAGCATGAGGCCATCCATGACTCATTAATTTTAATTTTCAATTCTAGTTACAATTGCTAAAATTGAGAATCAAAAAATGTTGATAATCTATTGAAAATGATTCAAAGATCCATTAGTTGGTAACAATCTATCAACTTTGACAACACCAGAAAGACTGCAGGAACATGAAAATGACCATACATATGTCAATCACCAATACATATGTTTTATATGCAAAAGATCAGAGATTCATACTCTTGGTATCCATGTTTAAAGGGAAAAGGAAGTATGTGATACACATGACCTCTGCCCTAAGACTGTAGTCAGCAACTTCTAGTCAGAATTAACAGCTGTGAACCAGATAAATAGGTTGTGATGTTGATGAAAATATTTCCCAATTTTGGCTGGGTTTGTGAAGAATTCCATTATCATATATGCAAATGAAATCTAACATAGTAGAGAAAGAAGTGGAGAAACCAACACCATGATCTCAGCCACTCTTCATAGGATTGCATTTAGTAATTTATGCAGAATGCAAGCACCTGGAAATTGAATCAGTACAAAAATATGGCATATTCTTAGAAAAATGAAGATGCACATACTATGAAATATCAAACATTGTATTCAAGTAAACAATTAAGCTTTGCTGTGTTCTATATGCTGGAGACTACTAATTTCATGATGCTACATGTATGTGCATAGATACATGAATTATAAAACCTATTTCTTGGAACATTAATACCCTAACTCTATCTTGACAACATAGCAAGAAAGCATTTTACATTTTTTGATTCATTGGTTATTTAATAATACAGTGTGTAATTCAAATGATACTAATCAAGAGATTATATCATTTCTAATATTAGATCCAAAATTATCTATTGCTCAAGCATTTTGACTGATCTAATTGGATGTGGCTATCATGACATGTTTTTATTATTGCATTTTGATGTGGTTTTATTAAGGTTATTGTTTTGTAAATTACCATGTTACTTTAAGAATAATTTTTTAAAACTTTTTTTTACGTACCTGATCTATTAACCCTGTCAATTCTATCCAAGCTAGGGGAATTCATTCTACTGCGAGGGCTACTGTGATTGGAAGTTTCTGAAGCGGCATCATTGAACGAATCTTCAAATGTTAAGTACAGAATTTCTTTTACACATTTGTGGCAGATACTATGTTGACAAGGGAGAATAAGTGGATGGGTAAATAACTCCTTGCATGCTGGGCAGATGAGTTCTCGTTCAATATTCTTAATGGTAACCTATAAACAAAAAGAAATGAGAAACTGTTCAGAAGTCCCATGATGGTTACAGCCAGTTAAAAAAACATAACATTATTTCAGTCAGGTAATTAAAAGAAATTAAAATATAAATACTGTCTGCTGTACGTAGCTATTTTGACATTCAGCAATCCAGATAACCTATAATTTTCACTTCAAATAGTTCATACAATAACTAAAGACAGCAAGATTAATAACTAAAGCTAACCATTTTGCGAGATTAAAAGCAGTCAAAAATGAAATACTAAATACATAAGAGCAAAAACTTAAAAATGAAATGGGGAATATATAAAATATAACCTAGGCAGGTAAGGGTAGGACTCCAACCAATATGGAAGTTTATTAACTGCCTTGGAAGGAAAGCTGATTTCTTGAGTTTAGTAAAAATTTACTTTGAGCAAGGGAAATGTTCCATGATGTATTATTTATGTTTATTTAAAGTAAATGTATAAATACAGTATGGCTAAACTGAAAGAAAAAAAGGAAAAGTAATTGTATTATATTACAAAAAGCAATAAAGCTACTTTGTAATTCATTTGTACTGTTAATATTGAATCTCATGTGCATGTGTGTGTATTTAGTATTATTTAGTACTGTATACTAAACATATATACATTTCTGCTATTTTTTCTAGGTTTAATTTACTATATTTGTTAAGTAATCTTATGATCCAAGATAGTATATAATTATGGTTCGTTGCACAATTAGATGTTCACATAGGATTTGGCATTTTTGTCTACCTATTGAGCCCTTTCCAAGGACCTGGGAAAGGTAGATGGAAAGGTATTTGATGGAGTTACAGATATTGTCACAGGATATAAGCTATTCTAAGTAAAGATACCTTTTGCAATTGACTGATGGTGAATTTGTCAATGCTGATGGTTCAAATGGTGCTTCATTTTGCAGAGGATTGCATCTAATAATTACTATTGGTTTACCTTTGCTTACTTTTGCCAGTCATTCTATTTCTATTTGCAGGTCTTTGTATTTTGTTATCTTTTCCATTTATTTCTCTTCTATTCCGCTGTCTCCAGATACTGTCATAGCCATTATGCAGACTTTTTTGTCTTTCTTATTGACAACTGTTAAGTCTGAGATGTTATGTGGTGATTGCCTATCTGCTTGAATTCTACAGTCCCAGAACAATTTAGCTTCTTCATTTTCTATGACTTTATTTTATTGTCCCACCAGTTCTTGCTTGCAAGCAAATGATATTTCTTACAGATCTTCCAATGTACAAGTGTTGCTACTTTGTCATTTGTGTTGTAGGGAGTGACTGGTCCAGTTCACAGCTTCTCCTTTGTAGCATGCTGTAAGGCTCAGTATTGTCTCCATTCCTTTTTAACATATAAATGAAGCCATTAGGTGATATAATCTATCACCATGGGATGAGGTACCATCAAGTATGCTGATGATAGTCAACTTTATATCTCCTTCCTTGGTGATTCAAATGAAGCTATTGCTGCCCACTCACAGTGCCTGGAGGCTGTGGAGGTTTAGATGGGGGACAACAGACTTTGGATGAACCCTGATAAGATCAAGTGTCTTTGGGTATGTGGAGCTTCAAGATACAGGACTTTAACATCTTTAGTTGTGGAAGGGGGTACAGTGCCTAAATGTACAATGTTATGCATATTATGCATCTTATGTGCTCTTTCCTGAATCAGGAGCCCCTACACTCAGTCACTCAAGCCTTGTTCACCTCATGCTTCTATCGCTGCAAACCACTCTATATGGGACTATCCTTGAAGAGTATTCGGAACTCACAATACGAGCAAAATGCATCCACACAGACAATCCTTGGTGTCACTAGGGTGGCCCATGTTATACCACTATGAACTGCATTGGTTGCCAGTTTGCTTCTAGATCAAGGCATTCTCATCTTTCAAGTCCTTCATGGCATGAGTCCAAGTTGGTTCCCTTATCTAAGGGAACCATCTTACTCCTATGGGATTGGCCTACCCCACCCACACTGGCAGAAGGGACATGAAGACCCTGTCGATCAAGCAATTCCAGCTGGTTGGGTGTTCAGGAGACTCCTGTCCTCTGGAACATTGTGCCCCTCCCCGGCAAGGTGAGATCTGCACACATCCAAAGTGGGGCCATGTAATTGTGGTGGTGATTAATAAATTATGACCCCATCCCCTATGTGATTTTGCTCCCTTCCTTGTCAATTTGAAATCAATCAAATCAATTGGAAATCTTTATCAATTTGAATTTGAGTTTATGTTGTATTTATTGTTCTAATGTTTAATCGTGTTGTATTTATTGATTGTAAGACGCCAAGGGCTGCCCCTGGGCAAGTTGGGCAGTATAAAAGTTTAATTAATAAATAAAGATGTTAAAAACAAACCAAGGATAAAGAAAATCTAAAAATGATAAATTATTTTTACTATATTACGTGCTTTTTTTTACCTCTTGAAGAAAAAAAGCAAATAAATATAACACTATAGAGAAAACAAATGCCCCAAACAATATAACAATATTTGATTCTGAGAGTTGCACTTTCACATTGATACCATGGTATGGCAGTAAAAACCTTAAGAGTTTATCAAACCACTTTAGACATGAGAATTAATGTCCTTTGTTAAAAATCTATTTGTCTAAATATTTAACAAAAGGATACAAATCCTATCCAATTTATTATTGTATTTTTTTAGTTCTAAAAATAGTACTACATAATTGAAGCGCCTGTGCTTTAAATACGCCTGTGCTTTAAATACATATGAAGCATATGGCAATTTTCTTTGCCTCCTTTCCAAGCGGATTCTGAAGAAGAAAGTACATGGATAGGAAAGATGCTTGTCCCAGTTACAGTTCAGTCAGAATAAGTTATAAGCTGGTTGAATAAATAAGGAGATGTATTCTGCAACATTCAGTACTTTGCCTTTTGGGAATGTCAATTTACAAACTCAGGAACCAAAGATTTGAAATAGTCATTATTCATTCTCCGGGGGGGGGGGGGGGGGGGGGGGGGGGGGGGGGGGGGGGGGGGGGGGGGGGGGGGGGGGGGGGGGGGGGGGGGGGGGGGGGGGGGGTGTCACTTTCCACTTATCCAAAGAAAAAAAGGAAATGAGAGAAATAGTGTTCCATGTTACTCTGCAGTATGTTGACTAGAGACACAGTTCTTTTTCAGTTCAAATTGAAAATATGATGGATAGATGCATTTTTGTCACACTGTCATTTTCTCAAAAGCATTTTGAAGTACTACAATCTGCAATCTAATCTTTCAAAATGTATTTGCTCTAATATAAGCAAAATATATAAACAAACCAAAATCTCATTTATTTACTCAAATTCACTCAATAAAAAATGATAGTTATTTTCACTGTTTAAACATCATTTTCCACTGATAAATTAAATTGAAATTTCTTAAAGACCTATGGTACTGACTCTCCCTTTTACTTTCTATAGCTTGACAATATTGTTTGCAAACGTTGTTTGCAAATTAAGACTTAACGCTTATATCCTAAATAATAAAAGCAAACAAAATGAGTTAAACGTTGGATTTTATAAAGTTTTCCTTGGACAATTAGTTATATTTCACTTTGGAAGATACAGTAATATGCCTTTTTAAAATCTACTTGTATGCTATAGAGCTGAACATCTAACATTCAATGTCAAATGTATCATGGCAATGTTTCGACGAGGTCTCACTCGCCATCCTCAGGCTGGTGTTTTTGGCTATGGTGAGTGAGACCTCACCATATATATCACTTCTCCAGAATGCTATTTGGGCCACATATTACTACAGTGTAAAAATGTTCTCAGGAAAAATTGTATTGGAATGCATTAGACTGACTTGATATCTTTTGTCATGGCCTTTATGGTGGTTCAAGACACTCTTATTTATGCTTTTCAAAATTTATAAAAACTCGCTCTGAGTAATTACTGGAAGGCTTAATGTAAAATATCATCAACAATCCAACCTCTTTTCCATCTAATCTCTGGAAAATTATTAGTTAAGGGTTTCAAGGAAGCCCTACATAGGATGAAGATAAACTAAATGAAGCATAATCATTACAGGTTGAAAAACTACTGTACAGACTGTTTATATAAAAGCAATTTTGGAACAAAGAATCCTGAAGATTGCAGTGAACAAGTAGGTATTATCTTTGGGTTTACTAATTCCAGTGGCTGTTTTTTCCCCAACTTCAGTTTGTTTATCAATAACACCTTCGACTTCAGTTTCCCACATCCTGGTTACGTGCAGATTAGAGTGTAGTCCAATATTCTGATTTGCATTGGTTATCTTTGAGAAAACGTGATACAGCTGCAGTAATGCAAATAAAATTTGAGTAACAATGTGGAACCTAGTTTTCTTTTGCCACAATTTCCCTCTCATTTTCCCAAGCGCCTTTGCATACATTCATCTCCTTGCTGCATTTATGCTTTAGAAAGCAAGGCTGAAATCATCTTGTTTTTTTGTGCAAAGCAATTCATGACCAAAAGATTAACCCTCTCTAGTCAATACGTAAAAGGTAAAGGTTCTCCTTGCACATATGTGCTGGTTGTTCCCGACTCTAGGGGGCGGTGCTCATCTCCATTTCAAAGCCAAAGAGCCAGCGCTGTACAAAGACATCTTCGTGGTCACATGGACTAAACGCCGAATGTGCACAGAACGCTGTTACCTTTCTACCAAAGGTGGTCTCTATTTTTCTACTTGCATTTTTACATGCTTTCAAACTGCTAGGTTGGCAGAAGCTGAGACAAGTAATGGTTACGCGGTGCTAGAGATTCGAACCACCGACCTTTCTGATTAACAAGCTCAGCATTTTAGCCACTGAGCCACCATCAATACTTTCACACAATGAAAAGCTAGAAGATGGATTGCTCCTACCCAGCCTAGATCAAGAGAATATGAATGATGGACATCCTCACTTGGATCGCTTACCCAAGCTCCAATAAACTGTTCCTACCACATCTGCAACAATGCAGACATTCCTGAAAGATCTGAAATAAGTCACTGTCAAAGACTGAAATAGCTGAAGCTCCTCCTTGGGATAGAGTCCGTCAAACGCTCAATTACACATTATGAGTTTGCACAAAGCTTTGGTGAGGAAACACCCCAGGCTCCGAGTCTATGTCTTACTTAAAGCAAACAAGGGGGTGGGAGAAGAGTCAGCTTCAAGCGAAGACGGGTGAGGCTGTTTGGGAAGCCGGCTGCTGAAAAGGCAACCACAATCTCTTCTGAGAAGGGAGCGGAAAAGGCTGCCGGAGTTCTGCTTTTGCAGCCGAGCCACGGGGAGAAACAGAAGGGAGCCAGCCTGCCGTGATCGGGCTCCCTTCCTCCCCACGGTGTGGAGGAAGCCACGGTCAAAAGCCCCACAGGTCGGGGGGGAGGGGACCCCTCAGATCCTCTCCCTTTCCTCTCAAATGACCCCCCCACCCGCCCCGTTAAAGCCCCACCTCGGGAGGGGCGACCCTCCCGTCTCTTCAGCCTGTAAGTTCCCCTTCAGGAACACTCACGACGGGTTCCAGCCGGTCCCCTTCCATCCTGGAATCGTCACTACCACTGATGCCGCTTTCGGTCCCGGACGGTTGAGCCCGGAGGTGCCCGGGGCGCGCGAGTCTGGTTCTCTCGCCCTCTCCGCAGACTCTCGGAACCGGTCGAGTCCGCCCTTCCCCCTCCCGAGAGCGCGGCGCGAGGGAAGGGATCAAGAGAGCACGCGCGAAGCGGCTACGAGGCGCCCAGCAGCTGCCACTGCTGCCCCTAGGAAACTACGGCTCCGGGCGGGTGGGCGGGTGGGGGGGGAGGAGGTGGGGCAAAGGGGGAGGGGGCGGGGCCTGCCTGGCAACAGCCTCCACGCCACAATGTGGGGGCGGAGCGTCAGCGCCACCTGGCACCTTTGTTGAGCCGCCGTTAGGATGTTTTGTCCACCTTTCTCTTTCCAGGAAGGGAGCGGGGGAGGGAGGAAACTATAGAATGAGATCCCTCTCTGACCCATCCGTGTGTGGAAACCAGGAGGAGACTATAATAACTCCTCTAGAGAAGAGTGCCGGGATGGCCATGCCTCTCAGCCGGGCTCGAACCGAAATCGCTGTCACCTTTTTTCCAGCCTCACGGAACCTCCGAAGAAGTCCGCCAGGGCAGTTGCAACAAGGGCTGCGCGTAAACTGGATTTCTGTCTCAACGGTCAAAAAGACGAGAGCGGGGAAGAAAGAAGGAAAAGGACGCATTGTTTTCAAAGCAAATGGGAGTTTTAGACTAGAAACGACAATTGCGGAAAGAACTAACCCGATTTACAATTTTCCGATACAGAGACCCGGTATAATTTTTCTTTGGGCAGAATCAGGAAAAGCACAAATCTTAACTGGCTGAAGCTTTGACTCTTTTCTAAAGCAAATTATGAGAATTGGCGCAGATTAGTTACCCTTTGCAGGCCTAGGGTTTCCACAACACTTCTTTATGAGGAGTATCAAAACTGTTTCCCTATCCCAGCCTAAGTAAGAATTTAAGAATTGTACTAAGCTGGGGAAATTAACTCTGAAAATATAATATCTGCTTTACTCATGATTTGATAACTGGAACATATTTACTGCATGCAGTGTTACTCTTAATATGGTAGTTGCACAAGTTTGTACAATGTGCATTCGGCCTTTAAATATATTTAAATGCAGTCCAAAACCTATTGAATCCATAAAAACAATTTATAAGGAAAGTTGGGTTGAGAATGACTATGCCAAAGTCACCCAGTAGCTGAGGGTTTACGCTGGCCATAAACTATGATTTACAAATGCACTAAATCTAAGCCAAAACCTTTGGGAAAATAAATATCTTCAGATTAATTCTCTTTATAAGAAATGTCTTTAATTCACTTAAAAAGTGTGATTAAAACAAAGAATCTGACCTAAAGCTTTATTTAAAATCATTTTTCTTTTCCTGTATTCAGCTCCTCCCCCCTCAAATCTTAGGGCCATTTGTCACTATCAGGCTGATTTCCTTCCCTGAGTCAGCAGAAATTACCAATGTAAAAGATATCCTATCCGTTGTTAATCCATACCCTGCTTCAAGTCATTGCAATCCTGACTTCCTTCCAATATGACAATACTTAAAATATTTTATAACTTTGAGATTGCCTTTCGATGCTTGTGACAAGAGGGAAAATATGCATCAAAGGAAAGCTATCTGACCTTGAACCAGAGACAGAATGAAAACAAATGATGTATATAAACAAAAGCAAAAATCATGTTTGGCTACGATTATGCGGCAGTCAGATACCTTTAAGGGAAGATCTTTCCCTTAAAGCATAACAAAAAGTGATTCCACCATTGTTTAAAGAAAAAAAGAATAGTGAATTAAAAATAATTTAGTATCTAATAGGTGATAACATTTTTATTTTTATTAGCAAGCTAGAAATGCCAGCTGGATTATTTTGGGCCAGTCACACACTCTCAGCCCACAATGCCAGGCTCAGATGACAAGCCAGATGGTCAATTCCTCACACAACCAATGAAACAAAACTCACTTGAACAGCAGCAAAAGGCAGACTCCCATAGTTACAAGGAAACACTAGGACTTAAATACTTAAATATAAAATGGACTCATCGTAAGTCTATGGAGATTCTTAATCATCCAGATCATGGGTTGTCCCAAAGGTGCTTTCCCAAAGTCCAAATGGACTTTTTTGTTGTGGTCTTTTCTTAGAAAATGTTTAGTTTCTCATTCAAGAAGCTTCTTCAGTTCTGAACTAAAGTTCTTGAATAAGAAGCGAAATGTTGCCAAAGAAAAAAACAGCCCAGTTGCATTTGGGAAAAGCACCTTTGGGGCTCATCATAAAACTTCAACATTCCTTGCAAATACACACACACACACCATTAATGAGCTGCGGAAACAATGCCTGAGGCAGCAGAAGATGTGGGAGAAAGAGCAAGCAGAAGTAGTGTAATGATAAGAGAGTACCCTGCATGGCATGTACAATGGACAGATACCTGAGGCGGCAGACATTGGGAAATCCTACCAGTGGCTGGAAGGGGATAGATTAAAAGATAGCACTGATCATACCAGCATAAGAACAGGCGCTAAGCACCCAATTCACAGGAACAGGGATCTACCACATTCAGCAGGTCCTGAGATGTTGGCTACACAGAGAGGCCTCAGAGGCAGTCCAACACATTGAGGAAGGGTATAAGATGCATGCAGGAACAGCATACACTGAATTGAACAACCAAGCAGCTGCCATCGTATATAGGAACATTGGTAGTATGGAGCAGCTGGGTGATGCTCCCTAGATCAGGTGCCATTCTTCACCCACTTTAACTCAAAGTTGGAAGGGCATTATGACAGTACAGTACACATTGCTGTTATCTGAAACCATGCTGTCATTTTAATTAACAAATTAATCTTCCGAAACAATAATTGGTTTCAATAACATGCCTATTTTCATTGAGAAACGTGGTCTTCCTTGAATCTCATTTTGGGGGATGCATTGCCTGAGTGGGACCACAGTTTGATGGAGGAATAGATCCTTCATCATACCCTCCACTTTTTTCTTTTTCTGATTATTTCCTACTTTCTTTCACTCCTTCCCTATTTCCCATCAAATTACACAGTAGGCTGCCAGAAAAGAAGAGATCATTTTGGCTACAGATTCAAACTGAATGGAATTAGAAACTCTTTAACACTGTATAGAATATCAAAATGAATCAGAGAGTATATTTATTAGGAAATAGATATATATCATTCTTTGGAATAAATATACCAAAAATATACAATAATATTGCAATATCTTTAACAAGCAGTGATAGTATTGACCAGCAAAATACAGGCAAGGATATTAACACATACATCTAACTATAAGAGCAGCACTTTATTCCTGCTTCACCTCATCTATATTGGAACAAAGTGGCTCTGACTCAGCAGAGCTCTTGATGTACACTAATTGATTTTGTTGAAATGAATGCATTACAGTAAGAGTATTTCTGTCTGTTAGCAAAGAAAAGAGACTAAGTGTTTTTCTGGCATACCAAATACAGGAAACCACAGACTGTAACCATTTTCAGGGCAGATATGTGACTTCACAGTCTGTCATTAAGATGCATTGTATTGAATGGGGTTCATTCCCCAAGAATTGAATTAAATATGACAAGGATTGAGTCCTACTCAATACCTTGGAGTAAACCCTGAGTATTTGTCAGAACATACTTCTGCTATAAAAATTGATAGGCCTCATGAGAATAGAATTATTCTTTTGCACAGAAACTAGCCTTTTCACAAAAAGACTGGACTAGATTCTTTTCCTATCCATTATTATTCAAGTGTGCAAGTTATAAGAATGAATCCTTATTTGGAACCAATGACAATGGTTCTGTATGATAATGTGAGCCATATTGAACATTTTTTAGCATAGAAAAGCAGTATGTAAACAAACAATGAAAGATGAAAGTAGGTTTCCTTTAATGAGACACCATAAATTGCCATTAAGGGGGAAATTTGACATTAAAAAACCTTTTTGGTAACACATGAAACTGATGGACAATATCTTGTACAATAGGGCATCCGCTTTTATCTATAATCTTCCCCCCCTCTCTCTCTCACACATACACACACACACACACACACTATATGAATTGTTTCTCAATCTTGACCATTTTAAGATGTGTGAATTTCAGACTCCAAAGAATTCACCAGCTAGCATGATGCACAATTGCACTCAAAAGTCAACTAATAACCAGTACAGCTTGTGTGGCAGTGATGACATATTGGAAATGCCAACAGGTTCTCTCTACTACTCACACCACTGCACTTTGAAACAGGTCTAGTTTCTGGATGGTCTTCAAGGGCAGCTCCATGTAGCAGCATTGCAATATTCAGTGACGTGTGGTGAGGGTTACCGTTGGTGAGGCAAGAGCGCAGCAGCGGCGAGAAGCAACATCCCCACTGCTGTGTCCGACAGGCATCTCGCGTTTATGGCGGACATAAATGTGAGACGCCTGTCGGACACAGCAGTGGGGACGTTGCTTCTCGCCGCTGCTGCGCTCTTGCCTCACCAACGGTAACCCTCACCACACGTCACTGAATATTGCAATGCTGCTACATGGAGCTGCCCTTGAAGACCATCCAGAA